ATTTATAATTATTGTATATAAATTATGTATTTCATTTTTCATTAGTAAATCTAATATATCATTTGTTTTGTTTTGTATTTTTGACATTTTTTCGTATAGTTGTTGTTCCTTTTCCGTAATATTATTGTATAATTGTTCGGTTTGATTTATTGTGTTACCAATACTTCTTATTGTTGATTTTACTACAGTAGTTTGAGCTTCCATTATGTGTAATATATTAGTTCCTGATTCTTCCGTTTTTTGTATAGCTTCTCGTGTTTTCTTAGTGCACTTGTCATCACATACGCCAAATAACGTATGCATGGTGTTACCTATTATGTTTATTAATCCTCTTTTCTCTCTTTGTTTAACATCCTCCATAGTACTTCCTAGTGACATATATGTACGTTCTTTCTGTTTAGTTATTTCGTTATATAAATCTGTGATTACTATTTGATATTTTCCACATAAATCTTGGTATTTCTGGTCAGTACATAAATTTGTTATATTTTTTATTTTTTCCCCCAATAGTTCATATTTCGTGTTATATTCTTTTAATGAGAAAAACATTACAAGACTGTATTGAGCCCCTATTAATCTAACTGGCCCCAACCCTTCATATTGTATACCCCTGCCAACTCCATAAGGCGTATACGAAAAGTACTCTGATGTATTTATTTCGTCAGAGTCGACAATATTGACTAGAAAACTCGTCACCATCACCAATCTAAAAGTACAAAGTATATTTATATTAAACTAACTATCTTATTATAATCTTATAAAATTAATACCATCTTACATAATCTAAAATTTTAGACATTAATATGTCCTATTAAACACCTCGGTGTGTGTTCAGGTCCTAAAGTATATGTTTCGTGAATTTCTTGTTCGATTGCCATTCCTAGTTCCTCAATGAATTTCCTTTGTCTGTCCCTAAAATTAAAATTTATTTTTTTTTTATCGTATTTATTTTTTTGCTATTATTTTATTGTATTTTTTTTTTTGATTAGATTTATTATATAATTATCCATGGATCCAAACAAACCCACTGAAACTCGGATCCGCACATATATTATTCGAAATCGTGCGTATATATATATATTTTTTTTTTTTTACTTATGAATTTTTTTAATGTATATTTTTTTTTTTATTAGCTCGAGGCCCGGACATAACGATGGTGATTGAATGGCCAGAGGGGTTTACCCCTCCACCGGACCATATTGTATCGGGAATTTTATTATCGGACGATGAAGAAGATGAATCCGATTGATTAATTTAAAGGAAAAACTGTTTATTAGACTGAATGATGTTAATTATCATATATATTTTGTTTAATAAATCAGTTTTTTTTATCTTTATCTGAATCCCCTTTTATTACATTGGGTTATTAATTATTTTCTGAGAATAAGTTTTTAATATATGTTCGGTTTCTATTCCTAAAATTAATATAATTATTCTAACTTAATATGGCTATATACTTATTAAATTTTTTTTTATTATTGCTATTTTTTTTTTTTTTTTAATTGACTTGTGCGTCATTATAATATTTTTTTACATAATTTCTATGTACAGTAATGACCTTGCGGCCTCGCTGTATAGCTACATTCTCGTTCCCTATAACTGCTGTGACCTCGTACGGTCCTAGCCAGATTGGGTCGAGTTTCGTTCTATGATTATTATCTTTTAATAGTACTAAATCATTGACGTGTAGTTCTTGTGGATTTTCATTTTTATCATAACGTTCTTTACTTTTTATTTTATTTTTAATTAAATGATCTCTAGCTATCTTATGCGAAATTTGCATATTTTCTTTTAAATCGATTATATAATCGTCATAATTGTAGCGTGGTTCAGGTTCGGCTTTTAATCTAATCGGTACCTCCAACGTACGTCCATAGGCTAATGCGTATGGTTGAAAATTAGTAGAAGTATGTACCGTCGAATTATATACAAAGAATGCAAAGGGTAGTAAATGATCCCAATTATTTAAATTCTTATCTACATAATGCCGTAAGTACTCGGCTAAAGTCCTATGAGCGTGTTCTACGGGGTTACCCTGCGGTCTGAATGGACTTGTGTTAACCTTTTCTATCTTTAATATTTTACAAACATTTGCAAACGTTTTCGAGAGGAAATTAGTTCCTTGATCCGTGAGTATTGTTTCTGGTATGCCGTGTACACAAACGAAGTGTGTAACAAAGGCTTCCGCAACAGTATTTGCCTTCTGGTCAGGAAGTGGAATTCCTAAAGTGTAACGTGTCAAATCGTCCTCCATCGTTAAAATGTATACATTATTGGACAGTGTAATCGGCAAGGGCCCTACTATATCCATAAATATTTTTTCGAATGGTTTAGACGAAGTGGATGGTGGATGTATTAGCCATTGGTTGTTTTATGTGTCAATTTGATAACTTATTAACCTGACATGACGTACAATTCCTTATATATTTTTTAACATCTTCTTTCATTCCCCTCCACATAAATTGTTGTTTTATACGTTTAGTAGTTTTATTCACACCTAAATGTCCGCCTAGTTTTGAGTCGTGAAATTGTGATAAAATGACTGCTTTTTCTTCTTCACTATACTCTACATTTGCACATATAATTATTTCTATATTTTTTTCGCGAAATATGTATCGCAACATTGACCTTATTTTTTTCCATTCTAAATCATCGTGATCGCCTAGCTTGCCCATGGCTAATTTATTCAAATTGTTTTCCTTACAAAATAATTTTAAATTTATTAGTGATACATACATGCTTTCGTAAGTGGCCTTCTGTCGATCTTTATTTTTCGTTACTAAGAATATTATAAACCGGTTTTCATGTTTGAAATATGGTGTGTCCCCTATTACTTTACTAGTCGGCAATATTATACCGTTTCCAAATTGTTTTTTTAATTGATAATTTGTTCCTGTTCTAAAACTATATTGCTTGGCAATTTCTGACACTATATTATATTCTTTTGGTGAATCTATTACTGTGCCTATAGTTTCTTTTACATTACTATTTGTGATAATTTGTGTTTCTAATTTTTCGAGAAATTTTTCATATGATTCGTTTTTTATTTCCTGAATAGAGTACATGCGTGTGAGTACATCTACATTTGAATTTAAAACTCCGGGTTTGTAACGTATTTCGTAATCGTACTCCTCTAGTTGTATTCTCCATCTAGCTAACTTTGATAATGGATTTTTCAAATTAAAAAGCCATGTTAATGGACGATGATCACTAAGTATTATAAACTTCCTACCGTATAAATATGGTCGAAACTGTTTTACTCCGAATATTATTGCAAGACATTCTAATTCTGTTGTTGAATAGTTGCTTTCGCTTTTATTTAATGTGCGCGACGCATAACATATTGGCAAATCTTTACCTATTTCTCCTTGAGATAAAATAGCCCCGAGTGCTTTATTACTCGCGTCTGTAGTTAATAAGAAGGTCTTTGTGAAATCCGGATATTTTAGAACTGGTTCTGAGCATAACGCTGCCTTCAAGGTATCGAATGACTTTTGACATTCGTTACTCCATACAAAACTCGTGTCTTTCTTTAATAAATTGGTTAATGGTTTTGCTATTGCGCTATATGAATTTATGAATTTTCTATAATAGCCACTTAATCCTAAAAATGATTTAATGTTTTTTACAGTTGTTGGTATTGAAAATTCTACTACTGCTTTTAATTTACGTTCGTCGGGTTTTATTCCGTCTTTCGTAATAACGTGTCCTAGATATAAACATTCTCTTTTTAAGAAGTTGCATTTATCTGGTTGTAATTTTAAGTTGCTTATTCGTAAACGCTCGAAAACTTCTATTAACTTTTCGTTATGATCATATAAATTTTTTCCATATACTATTATATCATCTAAGTATACTAAGCATTTTATTCCTATTAAACCTGCCAGAGCTGAATTCATAACTCTTTGGAAAGTTCCGTTACTCGTTTTCATTCCCTGTATCATTCGTTTGAAATGCCAGTGACCTTGGTTAGTCGAAAAGGCTGTTAACTCTCGTGAGTCTTTTTCCATCAAAATTTGGTAAAAACCACTCGATAAATCTAAAAGAGAGAATAATTGACTATTTCCTAGTTGATCTAGTATTTCTGTAATATTTGGTAAAGGGTGAAATTCATTTATAGTAGCTTCGTTAAGTGCCCTAAAGTCTACTACTACTCTAAACTTTTGTTTGCCTGAATTATCCATTTTCTTTTGTACTAATAATAGTGGGGAATTCCATGGACTTCTCGATTTCTCGATTCCATTTTCTTTCATTTTTTGAATTTGTGAATTTATTTCCTCCTGTTGTGCGTGTGGTAATCTATAAGGTCTACGATAGATAGGTGGTTGATCCTTTTTTAACTTAATAGAATGTGTGCCGACATTGGTAAAGGTTAAAACATCTCCTTCCAAATGAAATATGCTATTATATCGTTCACATATTTCGTAAATAGATTGTTTTTCAATTTCGTCCATGTGGTCAGTTATTATTATTTGTTTCAAACGTTCTATTCGTTAATTATGATCATTTGTCGATTCTACATTATATATTTCGTATTCGGTATCAAAGAGTATTTTATTTAAATTATATATTTCAGATATATTTTTCGTTTCTTCCGATATATTCAACATGCTAACTATTGCCCTACCATTATTAACGATAGACACTGTACTACTGCAATATACGTCTTTTACTAGTTCTTGCTTATGTATAAATATTTCCTTGCTTTCTATTAGCGAGTCAGCTATCTGTATTCCTACAATAGTTTCAGTCCGCGGATTTAATTTAATAAAACTGGTTTTGTCGGTCTCTTTGAAATTTGTTAGCGCATGCGAGGTCGTTTGAATAATTAATTTGTTGTTTGCTACATCGACCATTGAGATTTACCATTAAGCAGGTAAACCACGAACGAATGCTCATTGGTCGGTTTTACCTGCGTAACCCGTATATATACTGGTGCCGGTTTAATGATCGGTCATTTCGATTCTAACATTCGGTCTGGTAACAAGTCATAAGCAACCATGCCACTTGAATTTGTTTTAAGCCAGAAAGGCAACCAACAGTTGGTCAATAAAGGTTTTGTGTATACCACGGACAAAATCAAAGAAGACAAACACATTTGGAAATGTGTTCATTATAATAGACACAAGTGTCTGGGGCGAGTATGGACAGCTGAAGACATTGTAATTTTTGAAAATGACAAGCATAACCATGTCCCAGATGTGGCGGAAATCCGAGTCAAGGAAGTAATGGCCTCAATTAAACAAAAAGCTGAAACGGTGATGGATACACCACAGCAAATTTTAGCCTCTGTTACGTCGAGTCTCCCAGCGGCAGTAGCTGGAATTCTCCCACCAGTCGCCGGGATAAAACGAAATATCCTTAAAGCAAGACAAAAGGCAGCGGGAGCTATGTCATGCCCCACTAACATGCGTGATTTACTGATTCCCGACAAATACACTTATACGGTGGCTGGAGATAAATTTCTTCAATTCGACAGCGGTGCTTCAGATAATAGAATTATTATCTTTAGCACGCAAAAGAATTTGGATTTGATGGCGACATGTGACCATTGGTACGCTGATGGTACATTTAAAACGTCACCGCTATTGTTTAAGCAAGTTTTTACAATACACGCGATTAAGTATAATAACGTTCTGCCAACGGTTTACGCACTGTTGCCGGATAAATGTCAAGATACGTATTCTCATGTATTGGATCAACTGAAGCTGCTTAAACCAGGGCTGTATCCAGTCAGTGTTATGACTGATTTTGAAAATGCCCAGATAAACGCTTTTTCCCATAATTTTCCAGACATCAGGAACAGAGGTTGTTTTTTTCACTTCAGTCAATGCATTTGGAGAAAAATTCAGACAATCGCTGACATTCGATCCAAATACGAGGATAAGGATGATCCGGACTTTGCATTGAACGTGCGAAAGTTGGCCGCTCTTGCATTTGTTCCAGAGCCCGACGTAGTTAATTGTTTTGAAAGACTCCTCTGGACAACATTTTATACGGATAACGAAGACCTGATGTCAGATTTGGTAGATTATTTTGAGTCCACGTGGATTGGAAAGCCCCGACGAACCGGCCTTGGAAGAATGCTTCCTAAATTTAAGCTGAGCCTCTGGAATTGTTACGAGGCATCGTTGAATGATCTACCCAAAACTAACAACGCCGTTGAAGGCTGGCATCGAGGATTCAGCTCTCTTTTAGGAGCAAATCATCCATCTATTTGGAAATTCATTGAGGGTCTGCAAAATCAGCAGAGCCTAAATGAATTCCAAATCAACCAGTACATTGCTGGATTACCACCAGCACAGGGACGACGGTGTTATCGAGACACAGCATTGCGAATTAAAGAAATCGTTGAAGACTATGGGAATCGCGATACCTCCGATTATTTGCAGGGAATTGCTCATAATTTTCAATTCCAATCTTGCTAAATGGCTAAGTTTAGGGGGCACTCGTCGTTTTAAAAAATGTCCTTTTTAGGGCATAAAAAGGCTCTTCTCAGAGCCAAAAAATATTTATTATTAAAAAAACTAGGCAACAACGAGTTACGTATTTTATTTTTAACTATTTAACAACATAATTAATTTTCAAAAATTTTCAGTTTCATATTAGTTAATTTTTATTCTTATATTAGTCCCATAGAAATACATTCGTTTTGTAAAAAAACATACCATCGGCGTATTTACTATCGGCGTAGATACTCGTCGGCATTTTTTCCGTCGGCGTAGATACTAGTCAGCGTAGATGCCGTCGGCGTAGATGCTAGTCGGCGTAGATGCCGTCGGCGTAGATGCCGTCGGCGTCGATGCCGTCGGCGTAGATACCGTCGGCGTCGATGCTATCGGCGTAAAGACATGATACCATTAAATGTAACTGATTTGTTTTTGCGACATTAGAATTGAATGTTATATGATTATTTTCTAGTGTTGCGAATATGTGAAATATTCGTTCGTCGGTTGTTCCGCGATAATCTGGTTTATCGTGCGAGTACCGCGTACCTCGTTCGATACATTGGCGTTTCCCGAATTATTTCTACTTTCGTCGTTTCTCTTTTTATAACACAAATCTACATTATGACCGTTTTTATTGCAATATGAACACGTAACTGGTTGTGTATTATAATTTGTCGGCGGTTGCGTAAAATTATTTCTATTAGGTGGACGGTTGTTATTTCCGTTGCTCGCGTAGTTAGGTCTCGAATTATTTCTACATTGTGATGCAAAATGATTTCCATTGCAATTATAACGTTTTATTGGTGGTCTATTAATCGGTTGAGAGAAGTTGTTTGCTCGCGGATAATTATTTCGCGCAAAATTATTCGTCCTTACAAAGTTACTTGGTCTAACGTTCCTGTTGTTCCTATTTTCATAATTTGATCTACGTTGATTATTGTTTTGTGAATAACTACTCGAAAAATGGTTCCTATTTTCCTGTTCTAATCTTAGTTCTACCTGTTCTGACATAGCGATTTGTTTCGCGATTTCCAGAGTTTTAGCATTACGAGATTTTACTATCGTTCTAATCGGTTCTACTAATCCTTTAATAAATACTGCTAGAGTTTGGTCCCTTAATGTTTCATGTATAATTTTTGCTTCTGTAGGCTCTTTGTTTAATGTGCTTACGGTACATAACTGATAATATAGTTTCTCTACTCTATGGCAATAATCGTTTACATCCTCATTGTGATTCATTCTAATCGAATTTAATTGAAGTTGTAACGATGATGCATTGGTTGTCACTTCGAATGCGTCTGTTAAATACGCTTTTATAAATTGCCATTTTGTTACGTTTTTATATTTAATCATTTCTAATGCTCTACCCGTTAATCGTGTAGTAATATATTTTACTAATATTGGCGCACTAATTGTGTCGACTAAACCTACTGCCATATCACATGCATTTATGAATTGGTAGATATCGTCTATCCCTGTGCATATTGGAATTAATTTGAAAGTGTCTTCTAATTTTATGGTTACTGCCACTTTTTTAATGCGTGGTTTAGCTATAGAATCTAACGACTGATGTTCAAAACTATCTGTGACTCTGCTACGTGTGACTACTCCTAATTGTGGACTTGGGGTTTTACTTGTGCTACCTACTAACTGGGTATCTACTATAGTATTTAACTGGGCTTTCTGTTGGGCTTCAAACTGGGCTTGGGCTTCTCTCTGGGCTAATAACTGGGCTTCTAACTGGGCTTCTTCTACTACACTAGTGTCATACAATGAATTAGCTACGTTCAAGGGAGATGTATCTTCGCTGTCCATAAATTAACTTAGCTGCCTATTTAATACGTTAATAATCATAATAATACTCAATAAAATTCAATAATGCCCTATAAATACAATAATAACTTCAATAATATGCCCTCTAATAAATTCAATAAACTTCAATAATACTTCAATAATAAAAATGCCCTCAATAAATAATAATCAATAATAACTTCAATTAAAACATGCCCTCAATAATAAAACTTCAAATAATCAATATGCCCTCAATAATTCAATAAACTTCAATAATAATCAATAAAATATGCCCTCAATAAAATTTAAAACGGTTTACACCATTACACTTATAATCAACTACCTAGATTTATCTTAATATGTCTTAATTATGTTGCATACGTCTATGTAACAAATCTAAATAACTATTCACTCACAATAATGCTGCGTTCATGGCTGACGATGACATGTTGCCGATGTTGATGATGCTGCTGATGGATTTGTTGGTACTGCGATGTGACTTATTTGTTTTTTGTTGGTTCCTCCTGGAGTTGTCTTCGCAGAAGAGTGATCAATTCCTCGTTGTTGACAGTAGCCTTTGACGGTTGCCTCCTTTGTGGAATCCAGTACCGACTGCGCCAGTGTTACATGCGGCCCTTCAGGGATCCAAAAGCTGATGTACTTTGATAAATAATAATAGTCAAATTAGTTAAGTAATCAAATGTATTATATTAAACCAGACAAAATAAGCAGAATAGTAGTGTTGATTGTAGCGAATTGTAGCTCGTTCAAGAATTGATAATCTCCGTGTAAGTTGTGTGTGATGGCTGGGCGGCTAAGCGAGTCGTGTGGTGTTCTCGTCTCTGGATACATCTACTCAGGATGTCTCGCTATCCCCTATATATATGGTGGCGGCGTCCTTTGAAGTGAGCGGCGCGTGTACAGTCGTCCTTGATATGGACCTCACGACTATGAAAGTGGTATTCTTAGTCGAAAACACTTTTGGGTGTGGTCGCATTCCTGGTTGTTTTTATGAGCAAATACATGATATTGCGTAATCCCATTACACTTTAGTTGATAAGTTACTGGATTTGTCTGTAAAACTTTTGAAACTGTAAATATTTCCGTTGTCCAATTTGGTATATATCCTTTACTAAATATATGTTTAAACTTAGATATTCTTACTTTGTCATTAAATTTAAAATTTTGGATTATATAATGTATCATTTATTTGTGCATTAAATTTAATATTGTTTGTATCCATTCGAGCTTCATTCGGTGTACATTTGATTGTTCTATGATTTGTATTATTATAATTTTGTGTAATTTTTGATAGTGTATTATACCAATTCCATGTACCAGTAGCAGTAAAATGTTTATATGTATTATTATTAATAGATCTGATCACGCGTTCCGCGATTGAGCATTTAATAACACTGTATGAACTGTAATGTTTAATTTTAATTTTTTTCATTAAATCTTGAAATTGAGCATTGTAAAATTCTGTACCATTATCTGTCTGTAATAATTTCGGATGAGCTTTTTTCAATATATTAAACATACCTTTTGTACATTCTTTCTATGTTTTATTTTTCAACGCCTCAAGCCATACGTACTTACTATATTATGTAATTTATGTATCTATAACAACTAAAATAAACTTGAAACCATAATTTTGTCTAGAATGAGATTGCATGTCCATTAAATCAGCTTGCCAGAGGTCATCAATAAACCGCGTTACTACACTGCGTCTAGGAAATATTTTTCTCGCTGGCCGATGTAACTCATTAGCTATACTCTCTAAGGTAGTCATTATACTATAATATTTCTCTCACGTAGTTCTTCTAAAATAGATATTATTTCATTATTCACACCAGTATTACCAACACTTTGTGATGATGTCAAAAGATTTAATCTAGTTACTAGCTCATTCGGATCGTCATAATAAACTAATTGGGTTTGAGGTAAGACATCTTTATATAAACCAGAACCTTTCATAGTCTTTGGTGATGAAGTAAATTAAAAATCTTTTCAACTGTAACGTATGTTACATCATTACGTTTACTTTATAAGCATCATAATATGCACATTAGGCATATTATGCGCTGACTGTAATAATATATTAAGCCCCTCCGGTTTAGGTGACACATATATATTTTATGATTGTAAGGCTCCGGCCAATATCCCTATGTAAGAGAATACCAGTTCTCCGCGAGTCCATCACGTGCACCTGAACTCCGTACAATCCCACATTTTTGGTAACTTTGTTCGTAAATTGTAAGTTATAATAAATAATTTGTTTATATTAATAATAATTTAGATCAATCGTTATTTATTTGTAATATTAAGATCCTAATACCATTCGTGCTCCCGAGCTACGGTAAAAATATATTCAAAAGAATTAATTTCTTCCCTGAATATCTTATATTTAACGGGCCATCCCCGACCACGTTACATATTGGTGGAGGCGCCGAAGCTCTTAAGTAGTTGAAGTTACAGATATTTACGATTGGTTTAGATTTTTATTTTGTTATTAGTTAGTAAGTTTGGTTAATTGAAGCGTAGGAAAATAATAAAATTAAAGTGTAGCCGTGTTAAGAATAATTGAGATTTTTTTTTATTATTTAAGATTAATGATATACATGATATATATTAAGTATTAAGAATAAGAGTAAAAGAATTGAAAGAATTACGGGATTAGAAAATTTATGTATAGGTAGGTACCTTATAATTTTAATTTTAATTTAATTTTTTTTTGGATATTTACGAGATTTTATGTTCTAAGAATAGGAGTAAATTACATATAGGGATTTTGTTATCAGAGAAATTATATAGTAAAAATAAAAATTAGGTAATTGAATTTTATTTGGATAGTTACGAGATTTTAAGTTTTAAGAATAGGAGTAAATTACATATAGGGATTTTGTTATCAGAGAAATTATATATAAAAATAAAAATTAAGTACCTAATTGAATTTTTTTGTTTGGATAGTTACGGGATTTTAAGTTTTAAGAATAGGAGTAAATTACATATTAGTACATAATAGTTAAATTATAAGAGAATTATTTTATTGTAAGTGAACATATTAAGCAATGTTGCGATAAATAAAAGTATTTAATGGACAACAAGTTTTACATAAAACGTAACGTGAACAACCAAATAACAAAAGTGGATAGAACAAATATATTATATCTGAATGAAACTTTTAATTCCGAAATAAACGAAATTAATCTAATAAATTTATTACGGCAAATCGAAGAAGTCGATTTAGGTAACTATTTTTCAAATTCCAGATTTGGAAAGATACCTCTGTCAGCAAAACTTGTTCAAAAATTTACACTGTGATCTCTATATACGTAGTTGAGACTTTAGAAAAGGAAGATTTTAACCAATTACCAGCACAAAAGAAATTTGAATTTATAATTTCCCAGCGAACAGTTGCGTGGATAAATTTATTAAATAAATCGGAAATAGTGGGTTTCTTAGAATTTTGTAATATACATAGTGACATTTCATCGACAATTAATGAATTAAGAAATCTTGCAAAATCAGCATTAAAAAGTTTTAGGAACGACGAAGACGACGCTGAGGATAGCTTAAACGAAACAGAATTAACTTTTACAGAGGACAATTTACAAAATAGTGATCAAAATTTATTGAACGTAACTGTTGTTGAAGACGATTCTAATAAAAAAAAAACTGAACCAGAAAATATAGATATTAAAAAAAATATATTAACAGCAGATCCTATACATTTCAAGGTAGAAACCCACAATAATACTTCGGGTGAACAGATCAACACTAAGAATATTATTGAAAAAAATTCAAAAAAATCTTTAAAAAATAAACAAAGTATAAAAATGGCGTTTAACCATAAACCCGATATTTTCTCAGGAAAAGAAAATGAGGATATTGATAAATTCATAAAAAAATTTGAACTTATAGCTGTCGTGAACGAATGGAACGACGAACACAAAGTAATTATTCTACAACTATATCTTAAGGACTCAGCAGAAGATTTTTTTGAACAACTAAAATCAAAAGACGGAAATATAACATGGAACGAAGTCAAAAGTGAATTAATAACAGAATTTACATTAGTAGGAAATAAACACTTACTAAGGGCAAAATTGGAAAATCAGAAACTAGCAAAAGGAGAAACATATAAAGAATTCATAATTAAAATAGTAGGCATATGTTATAAAATAAACAAGAATATGACCGAAGAAGAAATATGTGAACACATTCTAAAAGGAGTACCCAAAGAAACCTTTCAGTTAATAAGGTTAGCAGATAATACATCGATCGCAAGCATCAAAAAAACTCAAGAGAAACTAGAAGTAACAAATCTATTGAGAACGGAAGACAAGGTAAATGGAGAAGTAGAGAAATTGACTAGAGAAATGGAGGTTTTAAAAAATCATATAAGTCAAATTAAAGTTGGACAAACCCAAAATAACATTCCCAATAGTATCAACAATTATCAGAACGAAGAGCAAACTAGCTATAACAATGGATTCAGCTTTTATAATAGAAATCAACACTACCAACCACCTATATTTAATAATCAAAATGAATATTATCAAAATAATCCAAGACCAAACTTTTATCAAAATTATAATTATAATAATACAAATAATAACCAATTAGCCAACACACTACGCCCTACACAAAGTAATCAGGCAACAATTCCCCATACTAATTATAATTATTTAAATCAACAAGGGCCACCGATATGTTTTCTGTGTAGAATTCCGGGACACATAAAGAGAAACTGTAATACCTTTGTACAAAAAAACTAATAGTTCCGCAGATAACTGGGTCTGCACAGGAACACCAATACATTACCAGTAAGATACCTTTAAATATCGTCAAAAATACAAATACAAATAATACCATTTATACTTATTATGATAATAAAAAAGAAAAAAGAAAAATAGAAATACAAGGAAAAATAAATGACCAAACTACTACGTTATTATTAGATACATGGGCGAGCGTAACTGTTATAAACAAAAATACTATTAAATGTAATAAATTAACTTCCGAAAGCGAACTCTACCTTGAGACGGCGAACAATTCTAAACTAAACATTCTAGGTACAACTGTGGCTCAGATAAAAATAGGAACGATAGTAATAAATCATAAAATAATAATAGTTGACAATCTATGTACACCAGTAATAATAGGATTGGACATAATGGAAAAAATTAACACAATTTTAGATTTAAAAAATAATTTAGTAACGTTTAATTATAAAGGAACTGAAGTAAAATTAAAAATAGAGCAGGAAGACAAACCAAGAAATACCTTACAAGACACAAACAATATTACACAAAATAAGCAAAAAAATAATTTTCAACAATTTCTATTACAAAATTCAGAAACGTATAGAACCAAATGTAGATACCATGACATTATAGGTAATATATTCACTGAACAAATAAATGATGCCATTGCACATTGTGTCAGTAAAGACTTCAAAATGGAGGCAGGGATTGCACAACAATTTAAAGAAAGATTCGAAGATGTAGACGTATTAAAAGCACAGAATAAAAAACTTAAAGAAATAGCATTTTTAAAGAAAAATAAACAATGGATTTTATATTTAATAACAAAAGACGCATATAATGATAAACCCACCTATGAAGACATTTTTAACACATTACAAAATTTAAAACAGTTTTGCATAAATCAGTCAATACATAATTTGGGATTACCCAAGGTTTGTTCGGGGTTAGATAAAAAAGAATGGGACTTAATTTCAAAAATGATTAAATTCACGTTTCAAAATACAGATATTACAATAAGAATTTATGAATTAGAGACCGAACATAAAATAGAATGCAGGTCAATAGCAACAACTCCGGAAAAAAGTGATTCATCAACAATAAATATAAAATACGACGGAGTGGATATTACACAAAACGGATTTGATGAGTTAACACATTATGTAGAACAAGAATTTGAAAACATGAATGAACATTTTGCTGACACAATATTACCTCAGACAATATTACAAAACACACTCGTAAAAAATAACGAAAACAATAAAACAATATGTAATATAACAAATTTAATAGATAGTAAAAAAAATGAATTTGATATTAACTCTGAATTGGAAACAAATCAACAAGTAAAACTAAAAAATATATTGGTAAGATACGCGGATTGTTTCGCGCAACATGACATGGACTTAGGATCCATTGATATTGTAGATATACCAATACCCACATTAACTGATGACCCAGTAAATTTACCACCATATAGATTGGCATTATGCGAACAAAATGAGTTACAAAGACAAGTCAACGAACTTTTAAAAGCAGGTTTAATTATACCATCTAATTCAGCATATGCTAGCCCAGCATTTTTAGTTAATAAGGCGGATAAGACAAAAAGATTAGTAATCGACTATAGACAAATAAACAAACAAGTACCTCATCAGAATTTCCCAATCACAAATATACAAACAATATTCGATTGTCTAGAAGGGTCGAAATATTTCAACATAATGGATATGCAGCAGGGATTTCTGAACATTCTACTGGGTAAAACAGACCGATATAAATTAGCATTTATCACCCCATTTGGATTATATGAGTGGACAAGATTTCCATTTGGATATAAAAACTCTCCAAGACAGTTTTCTAAAGCTGTGGCTACTGCTCTCTCTGGACTACTTTATTTGGGCACCATTAATTATGTAGACGATATCGTAAATTATGCAAAAACATTTGAAGAGCTACTTATTATTTTAGAAAAACTATTAGAACGAATTAGAAAAACAGGGTTTAAATTGAAACCAAAAAAATGTAAATTTGGATATTTTGAGTTGAAAATACTAGGGCAAATCGTTAATCAATATGGAGTCAAGCCAAATGAGGAGGGATTGGCAGCGATAAATAAATTTCCTATTCCAGAAAATATAAAACAAACAAGAAGTTTTTTAGGTTTATGTAATTTTTTTAGAAAGTTCATACCAAGATACGCTGAAATTGTAGCACCTATAACCGATTTAACTAGAGGCCACTTCGAATCAAAAAAATCTCCGGTAAAATGGCTAAATAAACACTCAGAAACGTTTAAAATACTTAAAGAAAAGTTAACAAACCCACCGTTGTTAAAACATTTCAGCCCAAACCTACCAATAGTCGTATGGACCGATGCGAGTAAAATAGGAATTGCAAGTGTTTTATTACAAAAGGACGAAGGTGACGAATTATTACATCCCGTATCATACATTTCTCGACGTGTTACTGCTACTGAGGAGAAATATAGTGCAATTGAACTAGAATTATTAGCAATAGTATATGCGCTCGAAACCTTTAGACCATATGTATACGGCACACACATAGAGATATGGACAGACCATGCTCCGTTAAAATATTTAGACAATATTAAATCACTATCAACAAGAATTCAGAGACTAAAAAGTAAAATTATAGACTACGACATAACAATTAAATATAGAAAAGGACTCTTAAATCAAGTATGCGATGCTATGTCCCGAAATCCAGTGTTTGAACCACCCACTATAGAACAAGAAATACAAAAGGATAATGAACTGACAATTTGCACAGTAAAAACTATTAATATACACGTGGAACAATTACGTGATGATACATATGCAAATATTATTAAAGCAATACAGAACCCAGAACTTTCAGCCCATATATGGATAAGAAAATCAAAAAATTATTTTATAAATGAAAACCAAATACTCATGTATAAACATTTAGCTAAGGAGCAATCTATACATTTAATAGCATTACCAGACAACCGTAAAAATGAAATTTTAAACGATTTCCATGATCACCCCTTATCAGGATACTAAGGCATTGACAAGACATACAATAAAATTATTCAACGATATTTTTGGCCCACTATATATAAAAACGTACGCAAATATGTAACATCATGCATTAGTTGTCAAAAAAGGAAATCGGATAAAAAAGCGACCTATGGTCAAATGCTAACATCACCAAAAATTATTGGTATACCATTTCAACGATTTACAATAGATTATATTTTGCCAATTAATCCCCCAAGCAATGGCAACTCATATATTTTGGTAGGAACTTGCGCAACTACAAAATACGCTATAGCAAAATCATACAAAAACGCTGACGCAAGGTCGACAGTAGCATATTTAATAGATATAATTTTACAATTCGGAGCAATAGGCGAAATACACTCTGACCGAGGCTTACATTTTGCAAATAAATTGGTGAAAGACTTACTAAAAGCGCTAAATATAAATAACACATATTCAAATGCATACCGTCCCCAGAGCCAAGGCCACACAGAAAAGTTCAACGGGACTTTGATAGATATGATTAGCCACTTTGTACAGGAACAACCAAAAAAATGGAGTCTATACTTAAATATGTACTATTTGCGTATAAGCAGTAAACAGTACACAGCAATTAATGATGCAACGAAAAACACACCGTTTTACCTATTACACGGATATAATCCAAAATCCATATTTGATCACAACTTTATAAGTACAGAAACATCCCCCGAAATTTTACTGGAATTAGAAAAATTAAAAAATATTCGAGACGAACTCCCAAAATTATTAGCGGACAGATATTTAAAAAATAAAAAACATTATGACTCAAATAAGGTACAGGTAAAATTTAAATTAAACGAAAAAGTACTGATTAAAGACGAAAATAGAAAATCTAAATTTGCTTACAGGTACAACGGCCCGTTTAAAATAATGAAGCAAGTATCGGATGTAACTTATGTAGTAGAAATAATTAAAAATGGACAGTTAGTAAACGAATACAAACATGTTAGTCAGTTAAAAAAATATAAAGAACGCTAAATAATACATTAGAATAATTGTAATTATAGTATAAAATGTATATTGTATATAATAAATATAACGTATAATAAATGTGGGAAAAGAAATAAAATTATTATCGTATATGCTTGCCTAATGAAAACATACAAAATGTTTTTATTACAACACATAAAAATGTGAATTTGAATTTTTACTTAGTAAATATATATTAAGAATACCATGTATATACATTTTTTAAATGAGACACGTAAAATTAATAAGGTAAACACAAGCAAATGTTGAATTGCAATATTCGAAATAGTCTACAAAGTACCTACTAATAAAATAGTAGCTCAGTAAATCAAAAATCATCAAAATAAAATAGATACTAAAAGGAAATACAATAAGAATATCATACCTCAATTAAGTTATGTACAGTAAGCACAATTACAACAGTTTTAATTTTTTCTAGCATATTATCAAATTTTGTTACCCTTATAGCATTCTAACGATTTTCAGTGCGTAAAAAATCTTACGATATCACTTTACCCCCATGCATAGTAATTAATTAATAAATTTAAGAACAAGGTGTCGAGATAGAATAGTGCAATAAGAGTAATATTATTAAATAATCATTTATGTACTTTTATTTTTTAGCATAAGGATAAATTAATTTTTTTTTATTTGACCATAACAATCACAAAAAAAAGTGTAAGCAAAAAATAGAGTGAGAAAGTTTACAAATTTAGGCGACTATAACCGAACCATAAACCTCGAATCCAAGACATATTATGGTGGTTCAATCAAGACCGTTTACGACGCCGAGGTTATAGCGGTACAGCGTGCACCTATCCAAGGACAGACCACGATAACAGACCTCCCTGTTTCAGTACTGGTTGAGGCCTTGAGGGACCGATGACATCCAAACGACGGAACGGGTGAAGAATAATTTCAGAACACTAATATTGTACATGAGTATGATGTGGATTTATATTGTAAATTTATTATAAGGCATAGGTATATTATGTAAAAAAAAAAAAAAGAACGCGTGAAAACATGCGTTAGGCGTATATATACAAATGTAGAAAAAGGGTTCACATAAAAAATATTATTATAAAAAATAAAAATGGTAGTAAAAAACTGGTTGAAATTTTACAATGACACTACCACATCATTGACACTTGCAACATTTTACGTAGATTTGATTTTCATTATATACATATACGATGATCGTCAAAAACTGATGAATCAAGAAAAAATTGATATAGTGCTCTCGCCACTCAAAAATACAATTAATATATTATTATCATGAGTGTTATCACATTGATATTCCCGAGCAAAACAGAACTAAATTTAATAACTAAACATAAAGATATAATATATCATATGCATATTATATGTATAATTAATGAAGACATGCAGTGTATGTATACATATATAATGTAAATATCATTTATCACGTATTCACACCAAAACAGTGGTAAATCTTCAAAATCAGGTACAATTTCAATCAATTTAAATAAAACTAACCTTAATGATATATTTTTTTAAATTAAAAAAAAAAAAGGGATGTATTGTTTAAATGAAACATGATTTATATTGTTATTTTTTTTTTAAATATAGTAGGTATATTTAAAATGTTCAAAAAAAAGGGAGGGGGGTAATGTAACGTATGTTACATCATTACATTTATTTTATAAGCATCATAATATGCACATTAGGCATATTATGCGGTGACTGTAATAATATATTAAGCCCCTCCGATTTAGGTGACACATATATATTTTATGATTGTAAGGCTCCGGCCAATATCCCTATGTAAGAGAATACCAGTTCTCCGCGAGTCCATCACGTGCACCTGAACTCCGTACAATCCTACATTTTTGGTAACTTTGTTCGTAAATTGTAAGTTATAATAAATAATTTGTTTATATTAATAATAATTTAGATCAATCGTTATTTATTTGTAATATTAAGATCCTAATACCATTCGTGCTCCCGAGCTACGGTAAAAATATATTCAAAAGAATTAATTTCTTCCCTGAATATCTTATATTTAACGGGCCATCCCCGACCACGTTACATATTGGTGGAGGCGCCGAAGCTCTTAAGTAGTTGAAGTTACAGATATTTACGATTGGTTTAGATTTTTATTTTGTTATTAGTTAGTAAGTTTGGTTAATTGAAGCGTAGGAAAATAATAAAATTAAAGTGTAGCCGTGTTAAGAATAATTGAGATTTTTTTTTATTATTTAAGATTAATGATATACATGATATATATTAAGTATTAAGAATAAGAGTAAAAGAATTGAAAGAATTACGGGATTAGAAAATTTATGTATAGGTAGGTACCTTATAATTTTAATTTTAATTTAATTTTTTTTTGGATATTTACGAGATTTTATGTTCTAAGAATAGGAGTAAATTACATATAGGGATTTTGTTATCAGAGAAATTATATAGTAAAAATAAAAATTAGGTAATTGAATTTTATTTGGATAGTTACGAGATTTTAAGTTTTAAGAATAGGAGTAAATTACATATAGGGATTTTGTTATCAGAGAAATTATATATAAAAATAAAAATTAAGTACCTAATTGAATTTTTTTGTTTGGATAGTTACGGGATTTTAAGTTTTAAGAATAGGAGTAAATTACATATTAGTACATAATAGTTAAATTATAAGAGAATTATTTTATTGTAAGTGAACATATTAAGCAATGTTGCGATAAATAAAAGTATTTAATGGACAACAAGTTTTACATAAAACGTAACGTGAACAACCAAATAACAAAAGTGGATAGAACAAATATATTATATCTGAATGAAACTTTTAATTCCGAAATAAACGAAATTAATCTAATAAATTTATTACGGCAAATCGAAGAAGTCGATTTAGGTAACTATTTTTCAAATTCCAGATTTGGAAAGATACCTCTGTCAGCAAAACTTGTTCAAAAATTTACACTGTGATCTCTATATACGTAGTTGAGACTTTAGAAAAGGAAGATTTTAACCAATTACCAGCACAAAAGAAATTTGAATTTATAATTTCCCAGCGAACAGTTGCGTGGATAAATTTATTAAATAAATCGGAAATAGTGGGTTTCTTAGAATTTTGTAATATACATAGTGACATTTCATCGACAATTAATGAATTAAGAAATCTTGCAAAATCAGCATTAAAAAGTTTTAGGAACGACGAAGACGACGCTGAGGATAGCTTAAACGAAACAGAATTAACTTTTACAGAGGACAATTTACAAAATAGTGATCAAAATTTATTGAACGTAACTGTTGTTGAAGACGATTCTAATAAAAAAAAAACTGAACCAGAAAATATAGATATTAAAAAAAATATATTAACAGCAGATCCTATACATTTCAAGGTAGAAACCCACAATAATACTTCGGGTGAACAGATCAACACTAAGAATATTATTGAAAAAAATTCAAAAAAATCTTTAAAAAATAAACAAAGTATAAAAATGGCGTTTAACCATAAACCCGATATTTTCTCAGGAAAAGAAAATGAGGATATTGATAAATTCATAAAAAAATTTGAACTTATAGCTGTCGTGAACGAATGGAACGACGAACACAAAGTAATTATTCTACAACTATATCTTAAGGACTCAGCAGAAGATTTTTTTGAACAACTAAAATCAAAAGACGGAAATATAACATGGAACGAAGTCAAAAGTGAATTAATAACAGAATTTACATTAGTAGGAAATAAACACTTACTAAGGGCAAAATTGGAAAATCAGAAACTAGCAAAAGGAGAAACATATAAAGAATTCATAATTAAAATAGTAGGCATATGTTATAAAATAAACAAGAATATGACCGAAGAAGAAATATGTGAACACATTCTAAAAGGAGTACCCAAAGAAACCTTTCAGTTAATAAGGTTAGCAGATAATACATCGATCGCAAGCATCAAAAAAACTCAAGAGAAACTAGAAGTAACAAATCTATTGAGAACGGAAGACAAGGTAAATGGAGAAGTAGAGAAATTGACTAGAGAAATGGAGGTTTTAAAAAATCATATAAGTCAAATTAAAGTTGGACAAACCCAAAATAACATTCCCAATAGTATCAACAATTATCAGAACGAAGAGCAAACTAGCTATAACAATGGATTCAGCTTTTATAATAGAAATCAACACTACCAACCACCTATATTTAATAATCAAAATGAATATTATCAAAATAATCCAAGACCAAACTTTTATCAAAATTATAATTATAATAATACAAATAATAACCAATTAGCCAACACACTACGCCCTACACAAAGTAATCAGGCAACAATTCCCCATACTAATTATAATTATTTAAATCAACAAGGGCCACCGATATGTTTTCTGTGTAGAATTCCGGGACACATAAAGAGAAACTGTAATACCTTTGTACAAAAAAACTAATAGTTCCGCAGATAACTGGGTCTGCACAGGAACACCAATACATTACCAGTAAGATACCTTTAAATATCGTCAAAAATACAAATACAAATAATACCATTTATACTTATTATGATAATAAAAAAGAAAAAAGAAAAATAGAAATACAAGGAAAAATAAATGACCAAACTACTACGTTATTATTAGATACATGGGCGAGCGTAACTGTTATAAACAAAAATACTATTAAATGTAATAAATTAACTTCCGAAAGCGAACTCTACCTTGAGACGGCGAACAATTCTAAACTAAACATTCTAGGTACAACTGTGGCTCAGATAAAAATAGGAACGATAGTAATAAATCATAAAATAATAATAGTTGACAATCTATGTACACCAGTAATAATAGGATTGGACATAATGGAAAAAATTAACACAATTTTAGATTTAAAAAATAATTTAGTAACGTTTAATTATAAAGGAACTGAAGTAAAATTAAAAATAGAGCAGGAAGACAAACCAAGAAATACCTTACAAGACACAAACAATATTACACAAAATAAGCAAAAAAATAATTTTCAACAATTTCTATTACAAAATTCAGAAACGTATAGAACCAAATGTAGATACCATG